ATATATATATATATATATATATATATGCCACAATTTATGTCACATGTATATACAATGTTACAAGCGTATAATTGCATAGGATTTAACATCGATTATGGTAGAAAGATCGAATAACAGAACCCAAATGTAATAAATATTGTTTACAAGACGATAAAAACTTTTTATATACAAAAAGGTTACAAGTTACAGGTTGATATTGGCATCATGAATACTTGTGGCTTTTTCTTAAATCTTGAATATCTACTTACCGTAAGTACGTCACTCGGATTTAATGAATGATATCATCCTTTTTTGCAATGCATAAATGAAAAATTCTGATGCACTGTTATCGTGATACGCTCTAGACACTAGACGATAGAAAAAGGAACGTTAAAGTAATTTGCAATATAGTTGTTGTAAAATAGTGCAGATGTCGTTTGCATTTGATTCTGGCGAATTAGGATAAAAAAATACTTGCGATAGTGTAAATAAATCTATTTTCTTATTGTGCATCTAAAGAAGAGAACATAACACTTTGAATTGGGTAAATTATCCATCTATAAGTATTCAGGATTAGGTTGCTGCGCAACAGTTAGCGAATAGAAGATTCCATTTTCAAACTGTTTGTAATTTGCCGACACTGACAGACGTAGAAGAACAGCGAATGAATAAGATTAGTCGGCAAAATGAAAAACCTGTATATCGGTGACGAAACACTAGTGTAACAAGGAAATTTGTTTATTTTCAATTTTTCGTTAATAAAAATTTCATTAACATATCGATGAGATCTTCCTGATTAAAATGAGACCAAACACGATGTAATTTCGCTCACATTTAATTATTTAATGAGAAAAAATATGCAGATGTATATATATATGTGTGTGTTACGTAGATAATTACACTTATTTTGCTTTCAATATGATTTGTCTTTAACATGTTAACCAATAGGTATTTAGTTAAATTTTCACTTTTTAACAACGTCTACGAACAATTAATTGTCTTCAAGGTGCCAAAACGATGTTAGATCTAACAGTATATTATAGTAATAACTACAATACCTTCAATGACCCTTAAACGTTCGTTGTCGTTAACAAATAAATCTTAAAACTAACAGTATCAGCATTTGTCGTAAATCCAAGCAACTGAATTTAATTACAATGTAATTTAAATAATTATTACTAATTAATATTAATAGTGTGATTCGTATTAATGATTAAATAAAATTCAATTTGGTTTTATTAAAAGTTTATAACTGTACGCAAGCTGTTCGCAAACTGTTCCCGAAGTCTCGAAGAGAGGGAAATTTTAAATAGAAAAGTTTTGTCGTTGCATTAATGTTGTTTTATTGATACAAAGACGCTACAGATCTTTAAAGAGAAGCCACTGCCGTGTCACATTACTCGCGTCACTGTTTCAAGGGGGAACCACCTCCTCCTCAGTGGTGGAGATAAACCATAGACAGTTATCGTTATCGGACAGATTCTTGCGGACAGTTATAGACGATTCGCTTTTGAACTGCGGAATACATTTACTTTATATAGTTATTTTGTACAATAAACGGCAAAAGAAATTAACACGAATATTTGTATGATACATCGAGAAACTTAACATGTTAGGAAAAGGGAAGAATACTACTAGTTTTGATAAAAGACAACTTGTAATTTGTCGTAGAAAAAAGGATGAAAGTTATCGTGAAATTGCATAATTATTATTACTAATTATAGCGGATACTATTAAAAGGTATAAAGAGGACTATTCCGAATTTAAGAAATAAGGAGGACAACCTCTTTTTCTTAACCCTACTGTAAAATTAAATGTTATTGTTAGAGAGAAATTGTTTACATATTTTCAAGCTACAACGAATGGTTCATATATTTTCATAGAGTAAACAACACGATATTTAAATCACCTCCTCTTATACAAAGCAACAAATGTAAGTAGAGATAGTGTGCTGTGTCCGAATATTAATGTGAGTAATTAAAATGACATGACAAGTCATAAACAAATCCAAAGTTTCAAGAAACCATTCGAAAGTGCGAGTCTGGGGGCAACTCACTATGCTCAAACATGGTTCAAACGAGTAAAGATACGACCATGAGCATTTCTAACCTCAACTGCGCGAATACATACATACGTTATCACTTACGAATAGATAACAGTTTTATCAAAGATGTCAACCATCAAAACACGGTCGATTCTTATGAACAGTGTCTAGTCTTGTATTTATAGTTATCCAACGATGTAAGCAACACAGACCATCCCAGTAATCAATCGATATTCATCTTAAGTCCGGGAAGTGTAACATAACCGAAAGAAGAAGAAGAAAAAAAGAAGAAGAAGAAAGAAGAGGAAAAACAAACAAACAAAAAGGAGGCAAGATAAATTACGATGCATGGGATATATCATCGGTGAGTAGTATCCGATCGCGAATCGAATCGCGAATAAATACTCACAGACGTGGAAGCGCTAGAGAAGAGCGTTCGAGCGCATCTTCGGGACGATATGTCGGGAATCTAGGATAAAGTAAGTTTTTGTTCGCTATAGTGGCAGAACGTTGAAACTCGCAGAAGAAAAAAAGATGGCCGCCGGTGGGCTGCCATGAAGGGGCTGCGTCGCTCGTGCTCGTGGAAATGGGACGTTGCGACATCGAAGTGTCACTGCAGCGCTCGTGAAGTGTCACAAAGTGTTCACCGAGTGACGTGAGGTGTTTTGTTTTCGCTGATACACGAATTGATTGTTCGCGATGGCTTCCGACGGGTAAGAATGAAATTCGTTCGATTCTAGGGGAATGGAAATAAGTACCATCGCTGCGATATAGTGGCTATGTTTCGCGGATCGATAGTGAATTTTTTTCCCAGTGACCCGTCCCAGTTTTCTCGCAGAGAGCCTCGTCATATTCTTCGAACGCACGATAGTGTTTCTCTTAATGATTTTTAAGTTTATCAATATACATAACTGGGTGGGTCTTTAAGTTCAACAAGATTCATTTTAACAATTTCGTATTTCATGTATACAGGGTGTTCCAGCAACTGTGTTACAATCAGCAATAGGGTGATTTTACGTGAACAAACAATTCGAAACTATGGAACAAAATTTGTTGGTATGATGCCTCGTTCTGGAAACAAACTAATTACAGAATTTATAAAGTATACTTAAACTTGGCTAATTACAGACTAGGTACGAATAAAACGATCAGCATTAGGTTATTCTACTTGTGAAAATAAGTGGAGTCCAGGTCTCGTTTTCAAGAAAATAGTTACTTACTTAAAAAGTTACTTATGAGTTTTACTAAGTCTTACTAAGTTTTATGAACATATACTATTCTTTATCTTTCGCTTATTTTCACATGTAGAATAATTTCCTGCCGATTATTTACTTCTATTCAATGCGGAATTGGCCAAGTTCAAGTGTATTTGACAGATTTTCAACCTTGATTTTCTCGAAAACGAAACGTCATATGAATAAATTTTATTCTATATTATCGGCTTGTTTTTTCATGTAGAATCACCCTATTGCCGATTGTAACATAGCCGCTGCAACACCCTGTATGTACGAATTATCGAAGTCATGCGTGTGTCGCCTTTTCCTCTCTGTCTCTTTCACCACTTTCGTTTTTTCCGCTCCTTTGTATACAACTATGCACGAATGGATTTCTGCTGCCTATTTCGGTCAATTAAACGGATAGCATGACATCAGACGGTTGCTCGTATTGCAGCCAGCATTCCTATCAATTTATGGTTACAGGGGTGGGGGGGGGGGGGGACACCCTTTTATTACAACGAAACTTTCCTCGTTTTTAAATGTTTGCACTTCCCCGTTGTTTCGAACATTTTACTAGAAGGACCAAAGCTTTTTTCCACTATAGAGATTTCTAGTTTATCTACGATGTTTATTAACGAAGGAAAATAAACTTCGCTAAAGCGTTTTCGTGTCCCATTTTTGCCCCGTAAATTTGACAGAATGCTATCGATTAATTATTTATATCTTATGGCTAATCCGCTGCGATTCTATCTCCCGGTTTACTAAAACTGTATTGGACCGGTTGTCATTAAATGTACTGTATATAATATCCCCTCGATCTAATCCATGCATTAAACATACCGTATATATATATATATATATATATATATATATATATATTCTCTTTTTTTTTCACTTTGCCGCACTATTTTTAGAGTTTTTAATTATAGTAATAAAAAGGAACAACAAATTTATCTTCGTGTGCATCCCACATGCTTTAATGATTTAATGTGTGCACTAGTGATTTTATCAGGTTTAAATATCGCTTGTATACTTTTTAATAATGTTTATTTTAGTATTGTTATTAATCTATACAGTAGATCTTTTTAAGTAAATTTTCTACGGAAAAAAAAGAGGTTTCCTGAAAGAGAACAATAAAATTATTTCTCTACGATAAATTATTTCGATGAAATTAATATGCGTTATTTGTAATTATTTATATCTTTAAAATAAAAAATCCTTTGTAATATTGCAGTAGAATGGAATGGGTAGAAATTATAGAACCTCGCACCAAGGAGCATATGTATGCTAATCTCACAACTGGAGAATGTGTATGGGATCCTCCACCTGGTGTACCAGTGTAAGACAGAAATATATATATATATTCTTTTATAAGTAAATGCTCCAAGATATAATTAACATTGAATTACATTGCATTGAATTACAAAGTCAATTTCCTCATTAAGAAAAATAATCAGTTGCCTAAAAAGATTAAACCGTCTTTTTGATCTAATCAGCTTGGTGAAAGTTATCGTCATGTAAGCTTTTCCTTTTATGATATAGGAAGCATTTATAATTAACAAGATTTCTACATGACACATGTATGGAATCTTAATGTTCTTTGTAACCTACATTTAATAGTAATCAAAGTGAATAGTTTTATATTACTTGATGAAATTTATCGGATTGTAACTTAAATAATAGTTTCTCAAGTATTAAGAATTCATATGTATATATCATTGTTCTGCTTTTTATTATAGGAAAAAGACAGATAACAATCAATGGTGGGAATTATTTGATCAAAATACTTCACGATTTTATTATTACAATGCGACATCCCAGAAAACTGTGTGGCACCGTCCAAGTGATTGCGACATCATTCCTTTAGCAAAGCTTCAGGTGAGTGATTCACTTTGATAACAAATATGTAATTTAGAACGGCGGTGATACAGCATTAAAAATATCTGTCATACTGCGCAAAAAATTAGGCGGGCCTCTTTTGAATATTTGAAATTCCGTTTACTGATAAAAGTCTGTTGACATTGCGTATATTTACTCACCGAACATAGCGTTTGACTTCTCAGGGATACAAATTCCATGGTATGTGTAGACATAATGATTTAGAAGCTTTTCTATACATCAATGTTGTCTCCCTGTAGGATGTTGAAGATATAAGCGAGCAAGCTGTCTGCTCTCCATACAGCTATAAATAGCTGTTTGTAGCTAGGAGAAAAACTCTGGTATACATTATACCATATTGAAAGCATGAAAATCATTTCAGAACATTCTATGTTCTGTTCGCTTGTATCACATTTTTATTTCCTAGCGTAGATAATATATTTTAACTTTAAATGATTTTGATAAACAAGGAGTATTTGGTTATATTTGTTATTTACTTTGTTTAT